AATATTTATTTTAATATTTTTTATTATAAAAATATGTATTTATTATATTTTTATCCTATATTTAAAGATACAAAATAAGCCATTCCTTTATACATATATATATATATATATATAAAATACCCCCTTAAAAGAAACCAAGAAAACTCAACTACGATTGTTGAGGTTGTGATGGTAAAAAAGAAAGAGGATGAAAAAAGAGTTGTTGAGCAAGTGCAGTCTAGGCGCGTGTCGGAGTACCTGCAACTCGCTAATTATCAATGGTAAAAAGGAAAAGAACCAAAGAGACAAAAGATAGCAAAATATAAAAAAAAAAATAGGCATAGGTGAGTGGTTAAACCCCCAAAGGTCATAATCGTCATTTCAAAATTTAAATATTTAAGGTTCACAATTCTCTCAAAATAACGGAAAACGACTGCAACCAACCTGCGGTCTACCCTGTTCTCTTTTTTATTTTTTTAATTTTATAAAAAAATATAAAAATTAAGACATTTTAATCCTTTAAATATTAAAAATTTCTATAAATTTATTTAAATTTTTTTATTAAATTTTTCACATATTAATTTATTAAAAATATATTAATTTTTTATTATCATTTATTAACATTAAATAACGTTAAAATGTTTTAATTTTCTTTAATTTTTTATTTTATTTATTTTCATTTTTCCACATCACTTTATATATTTATACACCAACCTTGAAATCATCACTCTTTTCTGTTACTCCTCTCTTCATCTTCAGTCTCTCTTCGCCGCCTCGGAGCGTTCAACAGTGGTGGCTCTTCAGACTGTTTGCTGCATGTGCGGCGACGTCGGCTTCTCCGACAAGCTCTTCCGCTGCAACAAATGCCGTCACCGCGTTCCGCACGCGTACGCCCGCATCTTCTCCGATCCTTCCAAATATTAATCTACGTCCCATCCATCGCCAAACCATCATCATAATCATCGCGATTTTTATGCATAGAGAGGATATAGACATACAGAATGATCGTATCATCTTCTGCCGTCACCAATTCTCGGTCTTGAAGCTCAGCCAACTCTACTAGTACCTGCATCTGAAATAAAACAACACAAATCATAGTGAGTCAAACTCAAATCGAATCCTAACAATCTTAAACTATCTGAACGACATTTTAAAAATAAAACCACCAGCAAAACCATAGATAATAGATTTTGTTCAAAATAAACTCAACTGATTTTCCATAAGCATCATAATTGCAACATAAAAATAGTCATACTTTGTAAGTTAAAACCTCATAAGGCAGTGAAATAAGGCACTTGCATAAACATACCTTGTCGAGTCCAACGAGGCCTAGTGAGGATTTGACGATGTTAGCAACTGCTTGGCACGCCATCACTGTTACACGCATA